CGAGCGGAGCACGGCGGGCGGGCGATTTGGGTCGATTTTCCGTACCCGACGCTGCGACGCGCCGGCGCGGCCCGCAGCTGCCCCCAACCCTGAATTCACGTTCTCCTCCCTGGCCCCACTTTACACACACACACACACACACACACACACACACACACACACACACACATACACACACACATACACACACACACACGCACACACACTTCACGCGACCAACCTCCTCCTCCTCCCCCCCACCCACAACAACCGCGCCGTGTCCCCCAGGCAAGCCGCCCGATGGCGAGCGCAAGCTGTATCTGGTTATTGAGGCGCCCACTGCGGAGGCGGTGCGGGCGGCCAAGAACCATGTCAAGAGGGTGAGGGGCGGCGCGGGCTTGTGTGTGGAGGGAATGAGGGGGGAAATCGGGAGAGGGAGAGGAAGGGCAGGATGGAGGGAGTGTGTGTGTGTGTGTGTGTGTGTGTGTGTGCGCGCGCGCCTGCGTGTGTGGGTGTGCATATGTGCATGCAAATGTGTCTGGTGGGTCGGATGTCTTTAGGTGCTACTGGCGTAAATGGGCAGGGGAGGTGCTCAACAGAGCCGACGCCTTGGGGCTTGGCACAGAGGGCTGCAGCCGCACCCCCTCCACCTGCACCGCCCTCTGCTCGCCACCACACTGTCTCTCGAGGGCCCAATCCGGCCGCCTCGAATACCCCGGCTGACAATGCGACCCGCCACGACTCATCGCGACTCATCAGGTGATCGAGGAGATGACCGACAAGGCCATGCGCAAGGACCTGGGGGCGGCGGGCGGGCGCTACTCCGTCATGTGACATCATGTGACGTCACCGCGGGCCTCGCCTGGGGCCGCACGTTGCGAAATTGCGTGGCCGGCGTGGGGGGAGGGCGGGCGTGATCTGATCGCGACCTGATCCGATCGATCGACGGTGTGATCTGGTTTTTGGGGGGCGGCGACAGCTGTGGGCGGCCGCGAGACGCCAGCCGTTGCCTTGAAATTGTGACGAGCGAATTGGTGGCGGCGGCGGTGGCGGCGGGATGCAGCGGCATGGACATTCGTTCCTGCATCAAGCGCCGCGACGGCGGAGTCCCCGCGCCGCCGCGTCCCAGGCGCTGTGGCCCCCAACACTCCGTCGCCGGCGAGGCGAGGCCAGGCGACGCCCTCCCTCTCTTTTCCCAACGGGGTGAGAACCCAGGGCGCGGGCCGCGCTCGCCGCCAGGCTTGCCTGCGGGCATGGGCGGAGGGCTTTTAGGGGCGCCAGGTGCGATCTCCAGCGGGGGGCGGCGCCGGCCCGCCTCTCCCCCCTCCTCCCCTCAAGACTGCGCGGCCGCTAGCTTGGCTGCGCCCCCGGTCGACCCCCTCGCGCGTCCCGCGAAACGCGCATCGGCCCCGTGCGCCCGCAGCCTTTGCGGGCCGCGCGCGGCGCCCCTCTGGCGCGCGCGCCGCCGCCGCCGCGCCGCGAGGCGCGGGGCTGGCGCCGCCTGGCTGCATGGCGGCAGCCGCGGCGGGGCAGGCGGTTTGGAAGGCTGGGATTGCAGAGGACGGCTGCTAGTGAGGTGTGCTGGTATTTCTGTTGTCTCAATTCGAGGTCGTCTCTTGCTCAAGATGATTGGCACCCAGCAGTAGCAGCAGCAGATGCGTCCGTGGCGGCGGCGGCAGCACCGGCGGAAGCAGCTTTGGCGGCGCCGACAGCAGGAGTGGCAAAAGCGGCGGCGGTGGCGATGGGTTTGCGAACCTTGCGCGGACGGCCGTCGGCCGTCGAACTCTGGGCCCAGCGTCCCCGACGCGCACCTGCAGCTGCGCTGGCATGCTGCGGCTCTGTAGGGCCAGCGGGGCGGCGGCGGCGGCGGCGGCGGCAGCGGCGGCGGCGGCATGGCGGGCGCGTCTAAAGGGCCGCGTCGCGTCGCTCTTAGGCCGCCGGCGAGGATATGTCTGCCCCAGCCGCCTCTTTTTCTTCTGTATATGTACGTAAGTTATATCTCATCTCTACTGCTCCAGTCCCTTTTGCTGCTTGCAACCAAACGACCCATCGACGGCGGCTGCCACTGCTTGGGCCCCAGAGCAGGCTTTCTAGGGCCAGCAGCAGTGCAGGCGCCAAGCGACCCGCCCGCCCCCGGTTTCTCTTCGCCTGCATGCACTTTGCAAGCACCCTCACCCCAGCGGGCCGCTTGCACAAAATATCGTTTTCTTTGGCAGCGGGCGTCTTTGTCCGCACACGCGTCCGTCGACGGCTGCTGCGCCTCCCCTGCTTCTTCGGGCGTGGCGGCACGCGCGCCGCGCCGGCATCGGCTCCGCATGCAGTCGAGCGGCCGTCTTGGCTGTGCCTTGCGAGGTCTTGTGTAATCATTTAAATGCGCATCGTCTGGGAACGGCGGAGCGCCAAGCGGGCGGGGTATTGCGCAACGCACACGCTGCTGCTCGGCCAGACACAGCACTAGACTTGGGTTTGTGGGCCCCCGCAGCGAGCGGGCGACGCAGTCTTGAACAGCACTCTGCACGTCTGCAGCATGGCAGGCTGACTCAGCAGCTCAACACAGCCTGCATTCGGCAAACAAGCCGGCATGCAGCTCGCAACCGCGACCCCCGCACGATGCTTCGCCCAACATACTTCAAAAGCACGAAAAGTATGGCCGGCAGCCTGCCCGGCGCCCCGGCCGCCACCAAGCCCACAACTCCGTGCAAAGGTCCCATCTTGGAGCAGGCTGCAGCACAGGGCAATACAAGGAGTGGTGGGGCTGACACGGCCCGTTCTCTTGCCGCACTGGCGCTCGCGGGCCCGCTGCAGGGCTGGCGTGATGTTGTCGCTGAGCAGTTCGGGCGGAGCTGCGTGCCTTCTGTGCTGGCAGGCAGCAGCAGCGCAGCGCCCCGGGTTGCTGCATGATCGCTTCTTTGGGGGGCCACATGACAGCTCCGAGGCTTGGCGCCGCGCACCCCAGCATGATGAGATCCAAAACATATGCAACCAAAACCTCTAGTGGGTCGGCCAGGCCCCAGAGGAAGAAACCGCAATGGGTTTTTGTCAATTCTTTTCAGTTCTACAGGTGGACCCTCCAGGAGGCCCGAAATGAGCCCCCCAGGTGTCCACTGATGGTGGTATCCCTGCGGCCATGCACACCCGGCATGGAGTGCGACATTTGACCGCAGATCCGGTTCACCGCCACCACCCAAGAATGACCCTGGGCTGTTGGCCACCGGGGCATGGGGACGAACCTGTACATTACCCCCTCCAGCACGCACTGCAAGCTCGATACAGTGCAAGGTTGCCATGTCATCTTGCCAGTTGAGGCCCCTCATCCAACTCCTGGGGATGGGAAGGTGCCTTCAACGTGACAGCACATGTTGCACATAATGCGTGCATAATCGGCAAGCAGGTGAGACCAAACAATTGAGTTTGACCGCACGATCGTCCCGTGTGACGCACCTCTTTATATGTTAATTTGAATCATCATACCTTTTCGATCTGATTTACCGCACCTCCTCCGCTACACATCTATTTTGCAAGGTCGACCGGTCAACGGGCAACGATTGAGCCACATTCGTTGATGTACGCACCTCAGACACCGCTGTTTTAATGAATAATGTGAATTTGAATAATTCCAAACGCTCAGCACTCCAGATCCCGCGAAACACACCCACACCCATACCCCAGGGCTTGCGGGTGCCGTAGGGACAGGCATGGACTTGTTCAAGCCCTCTTTGCCTTTTTTTAAATGTTTGTCGTTTCAATGTTTCACGAACCACTGAAACCTCCTTCCAGATGTGACAAACCCTTCTGCTGCCTGCGATCAACCGCTTCGTGCGACGCGACGCCGTTGCAACCCCCGCGGGCGCATGCCGTACAGATAAGCACGCGAGAGGTTTGAAATAATAACAACAGCAACAGTAATATACACCCTCATCTTTTCAAGCCGTTGGGCCATAATGCACAGGCACAAACGCGTGTGTGTACACGACTTGCAACGGACGCCAACTTGAACAGGGTGGTCAGCTGTCGGGGAAATCGAGGCACGCCCACCCAACACATCCAACTCATCTTGGGGCACACAAGCGAATCCCCGAGGCTAGCGCACCCATGCAGAGCCGCCGCATGTTGCAGGTTTGCGCATTGTTGGCCCCATGTACATCCAGCTGATGGCCAGCCAGCTGTAACCAAGCCCCACGATCGCTGCAGCCCACCAGCCCCCAAAAACGCAGCCACGCACCTCAGCTGGCTGTCGGGGTTGGTCAGACGTGCAGCTGTATGCAGATCTGGGAGATCTTGATCCGCCCGCTCAGCTGCCGACCAGCACGGTCTTGGGGTTGGGCTTGCGCTGGAAGCTATTGTCAGCGTAGAGGGCCGTCTCCTCCAGCAGCGCGCACTCGTCATCCTGTGAGGGGGTGTCGCGTGGATTACTGGTACGAGGATTTTGGTTGCGGACTGGGTGAGGTGAGACGCAGCCCAGGCGGTCGCGGAAATGCGTAGGATGTGGACGGTGATGGAATGCAGTGGGTTGCAGGTCGAGACGATGACAACTGCAAGGGCACTAGTCCCGATCAAACGTGCTGGGTAATCTGTATTGCGCCCAGACCCTGACTGAGACCGCGTCACCAGCACGCGCAAGGCTTGAGCCTGCTGATGTCCGGCCGCGAGTCCCGCCAGCTGCGTGCCCTCTGCGGCGCGGCGGCGTGGACGCCGCTGTCAGTACAACAGAGTGTAGTGAAGCCACGGCAAAATGGTATCAACGGGTCAGCTTTTTAAAGGGCACGGCTCACTCACTCGTTGCGTCACCGCTGACTCACCGTGGCGGGTGTCGCCCGCTGACGCACTCCGAGCAAAGACTGGGCCCAGACTTGTTCCCCCTGTATTTGCAGATCAGGCGGTAGAGTCATGACGTGCTTGCAGTACTGTAACCCCAAACCCATCCCCATGCCCCCGTCTCAAGATACAGCACACCCCTTGGTAGGCCAGCAGCCAATGCACAGCAGGCCCCCCCTGCTCGCACCTGTCTGACGATCTTTTGAAGGCATCACCGGGACGTGCGGCTCAACAGGCTGCAGAGCATAAGTGGGCAAACATCTGTCTCAGGTGTGCCTGCCTGTGCGGACCGCCTGGTGCTCGAGCCAGAAATCTGACGCCCCCCCCCACGCCCGACGCCCAGCAGTGTCGATCGCATGCCGCCCCTCATGCTGCTAAACGGCAGGCTACAAGCTGACGTACTGTCACTTCAAATTGCTACGCATGAGCCAACCGAGGCGGCCGGCGCGCTGCCTGGTGCGGCGGGGCTTGTGCAGGCGGAGCTGCGCAAAGCGCTGCTTCGACACAACAGCAGCTTTGAGCGACGTGGCGGGCGCGTGTCGGAGCCCTCGTGCGCACGTGCCGACCAATCAGCGCCCATGCCCTGGTGGGCCGCCTGGGGGAAGGCAGGTGGGGCGGGTGCCGGCCGGGCCAGCGCACGCGCGCCGGGTGTACACGTTGGGCTGCCGCAGCGCGGCGTTACTGCACACTTCGGCACACCAAGGTCACGCGGCTGCCCGACTGTGCATGGCAGGCGGTTCTTCGTCACTGGCAGGCTCGGCGCCCAGGGGCGTCCAATGTGCACAGGAGGTGCTTGCCAACCGTGCGCGTGTCGTGAGCATGACTGATGAGAGGCTTGCGCACAGGATTGGCGCCTGTTCTTTGCACGGATCAGCTATCATAGGACGTCTAGTTTTCCAGGAACCAGGCTGCTGCTCACGCCTGTCGCCACCTCGGTGCATGTGCGTGTGCGTGTGCGTGTGCGTGTGCGTGTGCGTGTGTGTGTGTGTGTGCGTGTGCGTGTGTGTGTGTGTGTGTGTGTGTGTGTGTGTGTGCGTGCGTGTGCTTGCGCGCGTGTGTGTGCGTGTGTGTATGTGCGTATGTGCGTGTGCTTCTGCTTGTGCCTTCAAAGCGTTCAACACCACAGGGGGTGGTGGGACCCTTGATCCTGGTGGCGACGCTATCTGGAAGCGATGCAAAATCTAGCCTGATGGCAGAGGCACAAGATGCCACCTGAAATCTCAGCTGACTGCAGCATATCGCTGCATCACATGCTATCAGCTCTGAGCATGCAAGCAGTTACGAATGCGTCGTGCGCAAATCAGGGTCGCATCGTCGTCGTCATGGTTGCCGTCGTCAGGCGGCGATGGGCGTTCTGAACTGGTGGTGCACTTGCGCCCGGGTGAGCAGTGAGTACAGTACCGCACAAGGCGGGCAACTACCCTCAATATGATTGCTCTAGAGCCATCCAAGGACAACACACACTCGTCAGAAGACGTTTGATGCGCGCTCAACACCACCCACATACAAACCAGTTTGGGTGAAGCGGCGGACGACGGCATCTGGCGAGCAGTGGCAGGCCGGACAGGAATTCATCACTTCGAATATGCATTGCTGAGTTGGACGGAGCAGCTCTTGCGTTCGCAGGTAAGGCGTATAGAACAGCACTGTGCAGATTGTGGAGCGGTGTCTGGCGCCACAGCAGGGCGTGAATGTAGCGGCAAAGTATTTTGGGGTTCCTATCACCCTGAATAGCGCTGCCACTAGGCGAGCCACAAGCAAGGCGCGCATTCGATCTGATCAACCCACCTTTAGTTTTGTGGTTTTCTCGGCCACTATCAGGACTGCAATCCATGCTTGATGCATTGATTCATACGTGAAGGCCTTCTTGCACCGGTTCCGTCGGTCGCGCACGCATCAGCGGTCACTGCGGAGCGCGCAACCACTGGCACCTCTCCCTGGTGCACCGCCTCCCTTCACGCGCGCCGCCTCCCCCCTGTGCTCCACCGCAACCATATCAACCGCTGAGCGCAGTCCACAGACGTCGTAGAGGGAGCTAAGGCGCGGCGACCGCTGCACCGGAGATGCCGAGGGGTCGCGGCGGGCGCGCCCGCGGGCGCGGGCGGGGCCGCGGCCGCGGGCGCGGCAGGCGCCGTGTGAGCGACGACGACTTTTCGTCTTCCAGCGACGACTCTGACGTCAGCGGCAGCGGTGCCGCCGCCGGCGGCCGCGGGCGTGGTCGCGGCCGCGGCCGCGGGCGCGGGAGGGGCCGGGAGGCTGGCTCGAAGCGGCGCGCGAGCAGCAGCGGCGACGAGGGCGACTACGGGGCCCCCGACAGCGAGGACGAGCGCCCGCGCAAGCGCCGCGCGGCGGCCGCGGCGGCGGCGTCGACGCAAGACGAGGAGTCGGGTGGGCGCGGCGCGCCCTTGCCACCGCCACGGCCATCTGCATGTTTGCAGCTGCGGCCTCGCAGACAGCGCAACTTGGCCTCACCCCGCCGCCGCCGCCTGCCTCCTGCTGCTCGCTGCTTATTCATATACATATACAACCTCAAAACCCCACACGTTATTGCAGAGAGCGAGCCGGGGGAGCCGTCTGTCGACAACAGCAGCGAGTCGGAGCAGGCCGTGGTGGACGACGAGTACCTCGACCCCAACGACGACTTCTGCAGGTGATCTGGCGGGTGATCTGGCTCGTGATCTGGCTCGTGATCTGGCTCGTGATCTGGCTTGTGATGTGGCGATGGCGACGCCCCTGCTTTTACGACCGGGGTGCCGCAAACGCTCGGGGGCTGATTGCGAGCGGTCGGCTCTCGCCGGCTGAGAAGCAGGCGTTGTCGGGCAAGCCCCCGTCTAGCCTCGGCCCGTGCTGCCGCCTAATTGCAGGGTCTGCGGCAGCGACGACCGCCCGGGGCAGCTGCTGTGCTGCGAGTCGTGCCCCTCCGTCTTCCACCTCGACTGCGCCGGGCTGACGGCCATGCCGGGGGGCGAGTGGTACTGCCCAGAGTGCTCCAAGGCGCTGCTCCTGGATCAGATCGAGAAGATTCTTGATTACCGCGTGATCGGGTCCGAGGATGCGCCCGCTGATGTGGCGGCGGCTGCGGCGGCGGGGACGGAGCCGCCGCGGGCGCGGCAGGGCGGCGGCGGCGCGCCCGCGGCGGCGGCGGCGGAGGGGCCGAAGGAGTATTACATAAAGTGGAAGGACCGCAGCTACCTGCACTGCAGCTGGGTGCACGAGGTGCAGTTTGAGCGCGCCGCCAAGCTGGGGCTCACGTACGTGCGCACGCGGCTCCGCAAGTTCCACGCCGAGCGCGACGCGGCGGCGGCGGCGGCGGCGCAGGCGGCGGCGGAGGACGAGGAGGAGTTTGGGGAGGGGGGCGCGCGGGCGGTGATGGACGACGGGCTCTTGCATGGGGTGCACCCCGCGTGGCTGCAGGCGAGGCTGGGCGGGGGAGGGAGGGCTGGGTGCTTGTGAGGCGGGGCGCTGGGCTGGGATGAGGGGCTGGTGCGCCTGGGGGTGCCAGCTGCAGCCGCAGTCTGACTGTTCACCGCGCGCAAGTTCCCTCGACCGCGACGCAAGGCAGGCTGCGGATTGCAGCTGCACGTATATGTCGTGATCATAACAGTGTCATCGGCATGACAACCACATTGTCATGAAAGTGGCGTCTGTACAATAAGCATCATGCACCAATCGTAAAAATCGTTGATCACGCGATTACCAATCAACCATTACAGGTCGACCGCATCCTGGCGGAGCGCCCCGCGATCCCCGACGGCGCCGCCGCCGACGCGCCCGACGCGGCCGCGGCGGCCGGCCTAAAGCGCAACCAGCGCGGCTCCTACAACCTCCTGACCAGCATCGCGGCGGCGGCGAAGGAGGCGCGCGAGGCGGCGCGCCGCGGCGGCGGCGGCGGCGGGGAGGAGGAGGAAGGCGCGGAGGGTGGCGGCGCGGGGGAGGTGGAGGGGGGCGCCGTGGAGTACCTGGTGAAATGGAAGGACCAGGACCATGGGTCTGCGACGTGGGAGAAGGCCGAGGTGCGCGATCTGCAGATCTGAGATCTGCTGCTTGTTGCCAGACTGCTCTGCGGTCGAGCCGCCTGCTGCTTTCAAATCCGGTCCTTCGAGATGCATGGTTCTCCGTGCCCCACAACGCACGCTCAAATCGGCGCCGCCTCGACCTCCTCGCCGTTGCGCCGTAACCTCGGACGCGCCTCCGCGCCTGCATAACCTCGGACCGCTCGTCCTGCGCCCCCAGGACGTGGCGGCCTTCCAAAAGGAGATCGCGCGCTTCAAGGCACGCACCCCAATCGCCTCCACCGCCCGCCTCAAGGCGGCTGCCGCCAAGGAGGCCCGCGCGGCGGCGCGCCACGCGGGCGGCGGTGGCGGCGGCGGCGACGGGGACGGCGGGGACGGGGCGGACGGGCGGCAGAGGGGGCGGGGGGCGCGCAAATTTGAGAAGACGCCGGGCTGGCTGACGGGCGGGGAGCTGCACCCCTACCAGCTGGAGGGGCTCAACTGGCTCTACCACTCCTGCGTGATGCAGGTGAGACTGCATGCCATCGTTATCATCACTGTCACCAGCATGAAAAATATTCATATAACACCGTGCAAAAGTATCTTTCAACACCACGCAACACCATCTTATAACACCACGCAAGATCATCATATAGCATCTGGCCCGAGCGATGGCCGATGCCTCCCAGTGTATGTTCGACTCTTGTTTGCTCCACGTCGCGCCTGTCCGGGGCGGCGCCGCCTGTATATCCGCCGCCGCC